CTGAAGCCAACCTCTGTTCATGCATTTTTAATCAAATGCTCAGTTTGAATTCCATTGATTTTAGGAGAGATTTGCTTTCAACCTCTTGCCCTAAAATAATATGAACTTGCCAAAGGTTCTAAAGTCCTTATTTTTAGTGAATAAATATATTCGCAGAAGAGCTTTTTTTCTAATTAACCAAATACATCCCCTTCTCTAAGCATTCCAGGGGGCTTTCTACAGTTATTTATCTCTACAGTGCAGAATGGTAGACTGGATAAAAACTTCAACCTGTCCTATTATTAGTGCTCCTTTTGCCTGTCTGAGAAATTTAGCAGACACAACTGTACATTCTCCATACATGGGGTCATTATCACACAAAAGCACCAAAAACACGCACAAATGATAAACCTACAGATATTTATTCAAAACGTGGCCAGAGGCATAACTAGAACCTTGTGCAGGAAACCATGAAGGGCCCCCCCAACCCCTCACCGCCATGGTACCATGTGGTTAACAGGAAGGCTGCCGAGGTCCTCAGGCAGCCGCTTCAGTTTAAAAATGTAGTGCTGGTGTTCTGTGGAGAACGCTGACCCAGTATCTGCGCTTGCGCACATAAGGGATTAACGAGGAAACAGTCATTTATTTACAAAGTATTTGTTTTTAATTGTTAATTGTGATCGTTAATAATATGCCATCCATGGCAGTACATGATGGATGGCATATTATTAATGGTCACAATGGCAGTACATGATGGATGGCATATTATTAATGGTCACAATTAACAATTTAAACTAAATTCTTTGTCAATAAATCCCTGTTTCCTCGATAATACCGGTCTGTGCGCAACAAGCGCAGATGCTGAGGTCAGCAAATTCGACTACGTCGGCGTTCTCGACAGAACACCGGTATCTGTGTTTAGTATCGGGGCATTTTCACGAGTACTCATACTCGTGAAAATGCCCAGTATTGAGACTGAGGGTGCATCCCGAATTAAAAATATAATGTATTGCCTGGACACGTAGTTCTGAATATTTGGTGCTATTCTGCACCAAAATGATTATGCAGCAATGCATAATCATTATACAGCAATGCAGAATACCACCAGCTATGCAGGACTACAAGTCCCAGAAATACATAATTATAAAAAACAGCAATGCAGAATGCCACCAGCTCTCATGCAGGACCTTCTTCCACGTCTCGGCAGCCAGGGGGCGGGACTAAGAGGAGAGGATCCTCACACAGAAGAATGTGCTGCCTGGCGGTGCGTGCAGCACATTCTGCTGGACAAGTGACAGCCTCTCCATCCCCGCACAGCCGCCCGTACATGATGCGGGTGGCAGAGCGGCGGGGAAGGAGCGGCACTATCTCGGGGGGGGAGGCCTCATCTTCCTCTCTGGGCCCCCCCCCCAACAGGCGGAATGCCAGGGCCCGGTCACAATTGCGACCGCTGCGACCCTGGTAGTTCCGCCAATTAAAATGGCATATTGACGTGAAGAAAGTTAAACCCAATTAACATTGGATAGAAAAATAAGAAGGGTTTGCAAATAAACAAACTTTGCTGTTAAAAAAATAATTGTATTATACAAGGCTTTAAGGTTCTGCTCACAAGGATCCAAGTTGCCATTGACTGGTTACCACAAAATACCCCAACTAAATCTAAATATGAAGACACACGGCATACAAAATGAAAATGTTAAAACAAATATTTCTGACAGCAGTGCTTTGAAAGATTACAATAGAAGACACTTGAGTCAATGTTTCTTTATTAAGGAGACGTCTTACAAAATAACAAAGACAACAGTTATCTCACACAAACAATAAACACACCAAGGTAGGTGGAACAGGGAAGCACCTCCTGTTAACCTCACCTCCTATATTTTTGAAAACATAGAGACAAAGACAGAATACATGCATATTTAATCTGAGTATACCACACCTGGATACTCTGTTCTCAGAAATTATGGCTTTTATATCTCAGCATGGCAAAGATTTATAATACAGACAGCACGAGACGCAGGAAGGGTCTGCCCTTATGCCAGGGTAAAGGCCATAATCTATTGCATGGATAAAAATCCGTCAACATTTAGCAGGTTATAGGACATCAACAGGACACACACAAATGAAAAAATAATTTCAGTAAACACACTGCCCCTTTCCATATGTACCTATGTATTATATATTTATTTATATATATATATTTATCTATATACTTTAGATTCCTCCTTAGCATGCATACATTCAAAAATATAAAGTGTAAGACAAAACCCTTTCTAATATATATCCAAAATGTTAAGATTGACTGCCAGTAAAGCCTGGAACAGCATCCGGCAGCCTAATTTATTATTTCTTAACCCATAAAATGATAATTTTTAACCCATTTACATCATGGCAAAACAAAATGCATTGGAAAAGCAGATCAGAACTTACTAAAGTTTGCAGCATCACAATACAAAGGTGAATGTTAGTGTTACCTTTACTAGTGAAATATAATGCTACAACAGATTTGCCATGTCAGTAAACAGGCCAAAAAATATCCTGCTGGTCTCGCTCACTCACTCACTCTCACAAGCATACATCTATTCCCCATGCTGGTATGTACACTGCCACATGCATGTTATGTACAGAATATTTAACATACATCCAGTCAGGCACGCACATATCTGAGTAAACAAACGGGCCTCTGATCATAATGGGTATGAAGTAAACATGATTTTCTTAAATTTCTTAATAAAATGTAATATGGCTGCTCTCCATTATCTGTCTTGGTCTGAAAACTACCCTGTATAGCATGGTTTATTCCATTCTTTATATATACACAAACATCTATCTTCTTTATATATTACATGTCCAACTTCCATTTATGTTCAGATATAACTTAAAGTATTATAAACATTTAAAATAAACTCAATAAAAAGACACTGGAATTGCAACAATTAATATGATTAAAAAAAAGCTATTCATTTAAATAGCAACAGCATATATGTTTGTAATATTTGAGATTCACTAAATTTGATGGCTGCAGTGAATATGGAATCATGCTTTGGACATCTGCAGTGTCCGCTTCTCCCCACCTTTTTAATACTTACCACATCCTCCATGCACATGGGTTTGCCATTCTAAAGTTATCTTATCACAGAGACACTTGCATTCCTACAGAACATTTCCTATAATTCTGTTGAGGTGGTTTAAAGCTAACTCAACATTAAATACTCCAAAAGTGGGATCACTTAGAGTTTTGTCAACAGTGCTCACAAGGGGTGCTGAGACTCTGCTGCAAAGATCTGGAAAGGCTTAAAGATGGTGTAGTAAATAACCTGGGTTTTAGAAAGAAAGTAAATAATTTTTCTACTAACAGTAACATTATTTGGAAGTAAAATAATTACATAACTTGCTCAACATAGTCAACATATAAAAAATATGTTTTTTTTACCAATATAAAGCTTGAAGAACCAAGCAACAACTTTAAACAATAAATATTCTCAGATTGTAACTACTAATTTTGCATCTTACTTGTATAGTTTTCTCAAACCCAGACTAATCCTACCTCAAATTATGTGCAACCCAACATCTTTTGCAAACAATTTTTCACAAACTGAGTATTCTTTCTTTACAAACTACTAGTAACAGTGTGGCTAATTTATTTTCTCCTGATAAATGCATGATAAATACAATTTTTGCTAACTATAACAACAGTTTAGAAGTCAGGCTGCATATGTTATCAGTATAATAGACAGGTGTATTTTCCTACTCTCATGTATAAAAACTGGAGGCAATGAGGCTGGAATGTTACCAGAAATAACATTTATTTCCAGTATCTTCTTCCTTAAATGAGTTACTCTAGAACCTGACTGCTATGGGGGACACCATAACATGTATTTCCATCCAGATAGTGGAGCCAACTCTGGCTAAATAACAAAACAGTTGCTGCCACTAGAGGTCTGAAATGAGAAAGCATAAATATTCTTTTTTTCCATAAAGCTTCAATCTGTTGACAACATTTTTTTATAATGATTGTTAGAATGTAGGTGTCACACCTTTTGCATTTTAATGCTCTATTACCTCAATGTATTCCCTTGCACTTCACCTGATTGTAGGCATACAATATGAAACATTCCCATTATTAGCCATGAAACATGGCTAACCAATAAATGCTTACTTTCTTTATTGCGATGTCAACAACTGTATATTCTGACATGCAGCAAAAAAAACCTCTAATTCTTTCTTTATATTATACATATATTTTATATGCCCATAATTAGTTATAGATATTTAGGATAAAAAGCATAAACGCTATTTTAAAAAACCCCTCCCACAATATTTTATATAATCAAAAGTTTTTTAGCTAGATGCACAGATAAGTATTCCATTTCCTTGGCGATTTATCCTAGAGTAGATGTCTACTTTAGAAAAATGGAAGACATGTGATTCTGAAAACTTGTTAAAGGACAAGATACTCATATAACCTCTTTCCACTGATGCTACAGAGTAGGAATTATATTATAGATATGGAGATTGCTTATGTAATGGGTAATCTAGAGGAAGTGCATAAGAAAAGTACATTTAAAAATGAAATTATCCTAACAATAGCTATAAGGAAAAATACAATGTGTACGTCAATTTCTCTAACACATTAAAAGTGTTTGTAAATAAATATATTCACCTTTTACAGCATATACTAGATTTTAGAGTAAAATAGCTTAAAATCAACATCTGCTACACTACTACAATGACAAGTGTAAACCTAAGGTCCCTACTACTAATAGTAATCATTTAAATTGGATATACTGACATGTAGCAGAGTCAGAGAACCTACTTTGTCAATAAACCAATGGCTGTCTACTACTAATTTTTGGAAGACCAGAATATCATACAGCTATTATTTACCCACCAATGTATGCATACAATATAAAGTCTGCTTAGAGCACACAAAAGAGGGGGACATCTGTCTGCTAGCAATGATCAGCTTCAGCAGTCATTCTTCATTGATAAAAATCATTGGTTTAGGATCCTACCACTTGAAAAAGAGAGGAAATGTTTATCTTCTGAATTTGGTGGCTGACAAACAGACTTGTATTGAAATACCACCCCTTGATTGTGTTCCTTAGGTCCTGGCTGCTGTGCATTTGATGTTGCCGGTGGGTGAGCAGAAGGTGCTTTGTAGATTTAAGTCTGCACAGCAGAGTGGGAGGGCAGGAGGGAAAATATTAAGGGGAAGTATATGTGTTATGTGTGTGGAGGGTTATTTACTTCTTTGACCCAAGAGCAAGGTCCACTTCTTCTTCTGGTTTGAGTGGATGCCACTGAGCAATAGGGCGACGTGGATTGGCCAGCATATCTGACCAATGTCGGAGCTCTGTTCCTGATGCACTGCATCCAACAAAGACCTTTCCAATTGCCTCATTCTTACCCAGTTTGTCATAGTCCAGAACTGTGATTACAACTTGTATTTTCTGTAAGAAAAATAAAAGATAGCCTTAATAAAAAAAAATTAAAAAAAGTCTCCAGCATTATCATAAGCCAGTTCTGATAAGTGGGAGCAAGCCATTAAGATAATATAAAACACATTGTTTAAGGACACCTGTTCCATTACATTACCATCCTTTTAAAAATGATAGATCTCTGGCTGTCATGCTGATCTATTTGGCTTCAAAACTTTTTTTTTACCTATAACACACATGGATATCAGGAGTTTTGATTTCACTGAAGCTTGTTTCAGGTAGGAAACTTAGACCGCATGGAAGTGAAAGGATCAGCATGACAGACAGACAACTCCCATTATCAGGTGGTCAGTAATGGCAGCTCCTGTATTTCTTTCACCATAAATTTTCCTTAAAATAGATAAAGTAAAATGAGAAGAAAAAAAACACGAACAACAAAGAAGAAAAATGAAAAACAAGAACAAAATGGTCCATTATAAAAGATCAGAGGAAAAGGACATGCAAAACAGACAGAGGACAGAGAAAATGTATAAACAGCACAGAAAAAAGTAAGACAGTATGATAGTAATAAAGCAGACCATTTAACTACTAGAAGCCTGTTGTTGCCTATATATGGTATGGTATAATAGGTAAGTAAAACAGATTATTGTATGCAGGGGCCTCAAGAGCCACATAGTAACTGCAACAGACATGCAAACCTCAGGCCACAGGTTGGGCATAAGGCTTCTAAAAGTTTAACAAATGGAAAATTAGATATATAGGGTGGGGAGGGAGGACGACCACCTCCTCTTCCTGTATCCCAATTTGTTGCTGGGGAGG